ACCATTAAAATATATGTGCCAATGTTAACTTTCAATGCAGTTAAACTGTATACAAACATAAATATAACCGATACATTAAAACAATCAGAGGTATGTTAGACAATATAAATACTTATGTTTACAAGTTAAATAGCTTGATATATTAAGTATATTGCTGTGAGAAAGTTCGCTGCTTTTGGCCCCTTGACCTGTACGACGAAGATGTATCTAGCACCTTTAGTGTTTTCAATGTATGATGCAGATTAATTCATTATTTGGGGCTACTGCATCTCATATCAAATTTGTGTTAAAGGGTGTTATTTATATATTTTGTCGTTGGTAAAATGTAACAGATACATTCATCAAGCATGTGAGATGTTTTTTTGTTTCTTAACTGTTTTTGTTCCAGTTAATGAAAAATATAAATGGTGATTATTTTCAATAGGGAAAAACTAGACTACCCTTCTAACATATGTCCATTTCATCTTAACAACAGTTTATCTGTAAGTGTCGTGAATAGAGTACAAATGTGACCCAACACTTGTTTAGTTATCACTGTCCCGTCTATTGCACTTTGTAATGTTGTGTGTTTCTTGTCTACAGGAGCACGTCATCCAACAAGGTGGGAAAACGGCGATGGCAATCCCTGTCTATATCAAGAATTGTGTTGAACTTTGTTGGCTGATGTGTATACAGGACCCACCCGTTGTTATTGGCGAGGGAGCAACTGTTGACAAAACGTTTGATTCCAACTTGTACAAGCCGTACACCAATATGGGAACTGTTGTAGCCTACAACGTGTGGCCGCCCCTTCTTCTCCATGAGAAAGGAGCTATAGTGACGAAAGGAGTCGTACAACCGATTAAAACAGAAAAAAGGAAGGAAGTACCCAGAAAGGAAACTACAGCTTCAGCTAGTTCCAACTTCAGCAAAACATACCAGCCTTCCTCATCAAACACGAGGTTGGATAATCACCATCCGACTCCAGCACAAAGATCTCCAAATCCGAGGAAGAAAGAAGAAGTTCCACAAACAAAAGATCCATGGAAAACAAGTAGCCCTCAGTCTAATCCTGCTGCCCATGTTAGATACCCATACCATCAGTCAACAACTGCAGCGTATACAAATCCTTCTCCAGTCACAAAAACGCAACCGAATGCAGTAACTCAGCGTCGAATTCCCGAGTATTCCGTGGAATTGCATCATGGTAGGAAGTATGCACGTTACAACGGCAATCTATACGATCTAAATGTGTTCATGCAGCATTTTGGGATAAAAAATGAAACTACGTTTTGAACAGTAAAAAATAACCCACATACATCACATCTTGTGGTTTGCTTGCATGAACTGTCGCATAAAAACTCTACATTCAAGTTTTGATAACAAGGAGCGCCATGAACATACTTTTCTTTTGCATATTAAACAAAATAGTAAAATAGTAAGATCAAATGAATGTTTGTTCAAATAATGCAAACTGTAAGGGATATATATGAATTAACATTGGATGTTTTTATGAGATTTCCTTGACTGGTCAGAGCTAAAAAGACTGGATGTCCCCATAATATGATATTCAAATGTCTGATTTCTTCAGACACATTGAAATGTGTTTGCGGTAGTAGGAAACTTCCATGACACGAGTTATCTCGCCTCTTTCAGAAACTGAACAAATAACATTATCAATGTATATGCTTTTTACTACTATAATAATAGCAGTTTACAATTTACATATATGAGGAAGATATACAATATCATCATCACCGCAAGGCTGTGTAAAGCCATCTGGTGGGTCTATAATGCGAACTACTACAGTTTGGTTGGGTTGCACATGTACTTTCGCGATGTCATCAATATGACATGGAACTGTTGATTAAAGCTGCTTTTAAGGTAGTACATTCCTTCAGATTTTATGGGAATAACACACTGCAATGAACACATGAAACATACATTTATATGTACACAGGTGAAAAGGTCAGGGGTCACCTGCCCGACCACGTTGGTTTGCCCTGGGTATTCCGGTTTCCTCCCACAATAAGACCCCTCGCGCGCTTACATCCGGGCCAACAAGAGTGATTAGTATAAGTTAACATAACTTGTTTCGCAATTGTTGTAAGATAAATAAAGTTTATATATATACATGTATATGTTACCACATTACTTTTACTACAAGGGTCACATGTATATAATTACCTAACGATCCAGATTTTGTAAATTTTAAGGAATTTAACATTTCGTCTCGCTTATTCCCCTATAAAATATAATTGATATAGACATATAGCATAAATATCGTTGAAATGCATAACATTGTTTTTTTTGGAAAATATTGTAACATTTATGATAGAATTATTGAATGGGATGATGTCCACGTGTCAATTTGTGTTGCATTTCTCTGCTACCTTTTTCCATGGCAATGGAACTATGTTTTTGTATGATATGTTTCCTTCTTTTTTGTATCAGGTGTTTATCCATAACATATCTTAATAATGTTTCCACACAGTTCAATCATACTGATACACCATTGTATACTTCGTGAAATATTCGTTTTGTTCTGTATGATGCCATATGTTTATGGGAAATAAATGTAATGCTTTTTAGTGTCGTATATTGCTGTTTATTGACAAAATACTATTGTTATCTGTTATATCAAATCTGGAACACGTCACAACTTAATAAATTCGGAAATGCGCTGAAGAAAAAACATGACGGATCCTTTCTAATTGTTTTTGTTATTGTCTGTATGTATTATAAAAGTGGAACGCAGATCGTTCATTTGATTTTCTTCTCAACTTCATTCGTTACGTCAGGGCAATAGATCTTGAAGGAAACTGGAATATATCGACCGAGAGAGGAAACATACGAAACGCAATGACCGAAAACCTTCCTAACACTAATCTTTCTGATAAAAAAACTGAGACCCAATCGCTTGATCAAACAAAAAGCAAATTTTGTAGTCATACAAGTGCTTCATTAAGAGACCCATGACTTATAAATGCTTTGTGCCTACTAACTAGATGGAGGTGTCTTACTTTGATACAATACCGGTAGGCGGTCTAAATCAGACCTTTATACACCTTTAAATTGGATGTCATTTGCATCTATTGCTGCTAATAATTTTGTTATATATCTAAATAAACCTTTAATTTGAAAAATAAATCCACACTCTGTCAATGATCCTTGAGCGATAACTGTTGAGAACTGCAACATTGGCTTGTTATATGTACCACACTCTGTCAATGATCCTTGAGCGGTAACTGTTGAGAACTGCAACATTGGCTTGTTATATGTACCACACTGTCAACATCCTGGCTTGTTGTTAAATGTACATATCCTTGAGCGGTAACTGTTGACCACACTCTGTCAATGATCCTTGAGCGGTAACTGTTGAGAACTGCAACATTGGCTTGTTATATGTACCACACTCTGTCAATGATCCTTGAGCGGTAACTGTTGAGAACTGCAACATTGGCTTGTTATATGTACCACACTCTGACTAAGTGACCTCTCAAAAATGGTGCTTGAAACTAATAAAACAACAAATAGGATACATCTAAGAACTAGAAGCCGGTTCGGGCGAGTCAAATTAAAAATGATTTTGTGGTAAATCATCATTATAGCATTTCTCGTGTCAAAAATACTGCTTTCACTGTGTTTGAAATTGTGAACGCAAAATTAAGCTAAAAACGTGACGTGAAAAATGCATAGCACATCCATTCTCCTATGACACCGCTCTGTATTAGCTGTCTAACACTTCCCTAGATTGTTGTTTTAGTACTCTTTACAAAATACGAACTTTACTCGTTCGGCATTAATTTTGATCGAGTTACTTCAACTTATATCAAGGCCAAGACGTCAGAACGCGAAGGTTCTTACTGCAGAAGGAAACCATGTAGTTAGGCTGGCTTCTATCTGTTTTACGCCCGTTTGGAGAGTCGAACCCATGAACCCTCGTTGAAAGGCGGATGCATTCCCACTGCAGCAACCTACCATCCAGTACGTCTTTGTGTTTTAGGCACTGACATATTCGGGATATTTTTTTCTGATAACCCAGTGGGATGATATTCAACTGGAGAATTGAAGTCGTTAGAATCGAGCAGGCAGAATATTTTTCATTATTATTATTATTTTTTTTTTTTTTTTTTGCCATTTCGCGGGTCCACCTCACGCTGTAACGTACAGTTGAAAGGACGTCTTTCTGATCTAGATAATGCTATGTTTTTGTTGTCTTTCGAGTTTTTCGAGTGAAAAATATGTTATATCTTTCCAGTGAGATTCTCAATCAATGGATTGGAGTGGCTTTGAGAGCAAAAGGTCGAAAGCATTATGAAAATGCCTGTAAAATATCTTTTAATTATTCCTTTTTCAGTAAACAAGAATGTATCCCATTCATTTAGGATATTTATTCTTATCCGTTCGAATTTGTCAGACTGACTAGATGATATGTTAATTTCAAAGCTATATCTAGCTATCGAATGCAATAAGGCTTCGAGATATTTACGGTACAACTGAATCAACCTCACCGTATCACAACTGTCCCACAAATTGGCTCACTCCATGTTTTGTTGACGAAGTCTCTTTTTTGACACGTCGTCACTGTTCTAAATAAATATTGAGATCAAGCAAATTCTAACATAGTAATTATCTGGTTGAGCTGGATTCTCGATTGTTAAAAACGGTTTTAGAAAAAAAAGAAACAGACATTTGAGAGCAATGTCGGCGGTGATCATCTTTAAACCCGTCAATCCACAGCTATGGGCAGATAACTCTTGTATAGCGAAAAGGGAAGATAAGTTAGTAAACAACAGAACTTTTTATTATGAACATTAATTACATATAACTGCTGTAAAAACAATCTATTGTAACGAATTAGAAAATTATCATTTTAAGGCGGATTTAGAAAAAAGATATGATGTATGCATTTAAAGATAAAATTATGATTACCAATTCAATGCACTTTTGTATAATTTAGTAACTACACGTTAAAGAAAATACTTTGTCAACAATTTAACTAAAGGAGTTCAGGAGAGTACACACATGGATCATGAAATAACAATTTATTTACATACAAAACAACATCAAAAACTCAGGAAACATCAAAACGAAATGAAACGAGATGAGTTTGATACACCAGGTTACAATTTTACCCGTTCTATAAACTAATCAAAGCTTAATACACATCTATGTTCCAATTATATTTCAGAATTCATCAATTTTTTCTGCGGTAATGCAATTTGTTTCAATTTATCCACGTCTTCATTTTAAAATTAGAGGATAATTCTGTTGTATTCGTTTGATTACGTCTACTACGCGGCGCCAGTAAAGCTCAATTTTTGACGCTATAGTCACAATATAGCGTAGCGAATTTCTAAACACAGTAGAATTGTCCCTATTACACGAAAACAAACAAAAAAACCATCATCTAGTCCCATCATTGTTCATAACTTCAGATATCTTGATTACCACGCTCAGAATGTGAGACACCAGTGGCATTCAAATTAAGTTGACTGTTATGGTCACGTTTATGCTAAAAAAATGTTCAATAACCAATCAAAAGTCGGGTTAAATATCGAAAAAATTGAATGATGTGTATTGATACTATTTACATATAATGATGTTTTACTTCTACGTACGAAACTGGTTTCATGTTAATGAAAAAATATTTATTGTCATCAATGCAGATGAATGGCAAATCGTTCAAGATATTTTTCGAGATTGTTAAATATCAATTAGTACTGTTCGTTCTTGTGTCCCGACATGTTAGTTTGTGTGAGCGGCTATTTTGTACCCAAACCACATTATCGTGTCATTTCAATATTTTGAACATTTTAAAGATATCTATATACAGTGTTTATCTATGTTTGTGTGTTCTGTTGTATACCTTGTTCTCATTTGAGAACGGATCTCAAATTACATTAATTCACCAAAATTTACATGGCGACTGTCGTCACTTTTACGTTTAATTTTCCGGAACGCCTGGTCTTTTTCTCTTTGTAGTCTTTCGGGACTATCCGTATACATCTTTTGTTTATTCTTATTTTGCCCTTTGTTTATTCAATTTGAGTTTAAATTAGTATTATGTTCACATGTTGGTATTTCTTGTTGTCTTTGAAATGTTCTTTATTCAACCTTTTTGGAGTTGAATCTAGATAGAATATTTATTGTTGTGTATACTATTCCTCGTATGGTAACTATAAATAACATTGTCCGAAGAGCTGCTTGTCCTGTACTTGAAGTATAAGTTTCATGTTGTCCTTTGCTAATTTAACTCTCAAAATCATTCATGACGTTAAGGTAGTAGATCCAGTAAACGATGTTGAAGATCCCGAATGACAAAGGAAACATGATGCGAGACGCAACGTCCAGGTAAAACGCATACATGACCCCAGTTCTCTTCGGGGACTTGCGCTTAATGGTGTCATCGTCCTCAACTGTTAAATGCTGGCAGTTAGAGACCCTAACGGACCCATCAATACCGACCACCGTCTAAAAAAAATACATAAAAAACCATTAATACCGTACCAAAACGTTATATATATATACATAACTTGATATATAAAACACGTTGTCTAGCTATTTTTCATACATGATATTTTCGACAATGCAGTGTTGTGCTATCGTTTGAAGCCCGATTATTAGGCGTTTTCCTGATATTCCTCTTACATCAAAACTCAGCCTGCGTACTTTTATCCGGCAATGTTTTAAAGATATTAAATACCTTTCTAAAAAAGCATCTGCAGAACATTACTAAATTAATAACGATTTCCAAAAAATGGCGGTATACCATGCTCAAATATTATTACGAGTTACTTCCCTTGCACTGGTTTTCCTTATTCTAAATCTAGTGTTCCCAAAACTTACATCTTTCTCTTTGTGATTTTCCCGATGTCGGACGCCTGATCCTTCTGGTTTTACTCCCCCGTTCGAGTTCTCAGCACCTCGCTTCCTGTCCCGTGCTAATTTAATTATCTTTTTAATAAACATCATCCCCTTTCCTGATCCCCTCCGACTGAGAACGTTTGCAATGGCAAACTCGACCAAAGCCGCTACCACAAAGACAAGACAAGCAGCCATCCAAATGTCTATGGCCTTGGTGTAGGACACTCGAGGCAGTGCGCGGTTAACACTGGAACTCTGGGTGGAGATGGTCAGGACTGACAATACTCCAAGGTTTACTCGTCCTGGCACGGAATTTACGTTCAACCAGAAAGAAACCCATGACAGCATCACAATGAGAAGGCTTGGAATGTACATCTGTATTACGTAATAGTTGATATTTCTCACCATAAAAAAGTCTGCCCTCAAAGAACTGTAGTTTCCTTTAAAATGTAATAAAGCTATCGTTAGATTGCCATGTAAAAAGTTAATAACTCAATATATATATATTATTTTAAGCGCACATGTAAGATAATATATTTCGTTGGAAAATCACCTAGTTCATCAAGTAGTTCGTTAATGTATAAATTTATAGTACAATTGTATTTCTTATATAAGACATGGTTTTTATTCTATTTAAATAAGTTTTTTGTGTTTTACATCGATTCGTAGTAATTCATGGCTTTTAGGTTATAAATTGAGCGGTATTGGTATTTAACCATCACTGACAAGGTGTTTTGTCTTTAACCGTTAAAAAGCAATATATATCACAGAGCCTTGTGTATATCGTACGACAATAACTAGTTGACAAGGTCTGAGGTCTGAAGTTGTTCGTGCTAAAGTACCGCTTCCATAGTGCCTTCTTCAGAACGTACGTACTTTAAAGTGACTTGCAGCTAGGCATGTGTGTTATTGTCCTGCATTAATACATTACGAAAGATATATTGTCTCGACCGAAAGAAGTGCTTGATACAATCTTCAAATAATGTACAGAATCAATTCCTATTTCTTAAGGCTTGTATGGGTTTTACATTACCTCGTTAGAAAGAAATAAGCTTGAGTACGTCACTACAGAACTCGTTGCATGTTAGCAACAACTCGCTGGTATGATATAGCACTATGGCGAACGCTTTGATCATATCTTGAGTTTTAAAGTATCTCTTAGGAAAGTTAAGAGCTTTTTAGTAGCTTATGAGTAAAATATGAACTGATGGTATCTCTAATCAAGGTATAAGAATGTTCTGTTATAAATTTAATAAAAAGCATCCGTACCTCTAATCTTGCTGAATGTCTCCAGATCGTAGTAGCTGTGACCTACTAGCTGGAACTGTGGCAACTCCAACCCCTTTTTTACCAACAAAGGACTGGAATTATTTGACCACTTCAACTGCAACTGGCTCTTTGTCAGTCCAACTGTGACGAAAAACAACTAGAAAGTATTTCAAGTGTGAACTAAACAATATACAAATGTTAAGTGAAACAAATTTAAAATATCAAGGAAATGAAAAATAAAAGATAAATGTAGTTCCTTTTAATTAAAACATATACAATTTTCAATTTTGGTAATTGTTATAATCCCAATATTGGTAATTAAATGATATATGAGTTTTCAAATAGTTTAAATTTTGAAAAAAAAATGTATAATCGCGATAGTGGTCATTGAGTAGATAGAGACTTTCTACCATTCAAAGATGTATTCAAATATGAAATACACTACAACCTAACAACTTAATTATGGTCAAACAAGTTTCAGTTTGTGAAGGTACCACAATTTCACGTTAAAAAATCATTTAACAGGTTTCATATTACTGACCGAAGTTCTAAGACCAATTATTGAAGCTAGTGTGATGTTTCAGTCTTTAGAAGAAAACAATTGTCCAATAATTTCATGAGTTGCACAAACATTCCAAAATCTTGTAAAATAAAATAATACTTTCAGCTTTGTTCTTCAGACCAGTGAAACACTGCTCATGTCGTTTAAAAATAAACAAATATAAATGAAATACTCACAGCTTTCCATTTTCACGGAACAGGTTTGCTGATCAAACGGATATTTACGAAGATTCATTGGACAGCTCAGCGTCAACGACAATCTAAACAGCCATTGGATGCATTATCAACAATGTTAACGTAATAGTACCTACTTTAATCATAATAGGAACGTGTTATAGTGTTGTACCACAGACTTGCTAAGTTGCAAGAACAAAGGCAATGTTAGGACCAATCGAATAACTCACTTCACAATGAAAACCGTGTACAATTTCATGTGCGTAACTTACACGGGGAGAAGGATGCAGGCGAGATAGTGGAATGTAAAGGACAATAGGGATAGACAGGATGGGGCAAATCAAGATGACAAAGAATATTACTTTGTAGTCGTTCGTTGATGAAACCAGATCATGCAATATGCTATATTTTATTACTGCTTCATAAGAACCATAAATATAAAAAAATACGTCTATCAATTTCGACTCTGTTGATTTATTTCTAATCTTATTGATGTATACGAAACATTTACCAGGAATTACATAATATTAACCCACCTGGTCGTGTAATGGACGTGCGTGGTGTTGTGGATCCGAAGCATTTTGTTTGCTGACATTACATCGTGGAAAGCTGCCCTCTTTTCGTTTGGGAAAAATATATCAGGTACCCAAAAGTTTTTCACTTTTTTCGCATCCAGTTCCACAAACTCCACGTTCTGATTAAGGAACGGCTTCACTAGTCGCGGGTCTACCCATGTCAGGTGTAAAATAACCTCAACCGTGAATTCCTGGTAAAGAAAAGTCCGGTTATTTCGTTGTAACGAATGTACAAAACTCTCACGTATAATTACATCCTTTCTATAACAATTCATCCCTTTGCAATGGTTAAACTGCATCGCACGGCTGTATTGTTAAGGACTTTTCATTGACGCCAAGTGGAAAATTTCTGTTTCAGGAATATGGAATCTATTCTTACCAGGAAAACACGGAAAATATCGTATTTGAAGTTGATAACAAACTTTCAACACTTCTGAAGAAAATTCGAAATTCATTCAGGATATTGAGATTGATTTACAATATTTGAGTGGATATTTCATTTAAGGAAAAATAGAATAGCCAGAACATCATCTAATACATGAATCAAAGGAAACAGAGCCAAACTATGATATTGTCAATGATGTGTCAATACCTACCATCTCAACTTCCGTCACGGAATCGATACTATTGATGTGAAGATCACACTCAATTACGACTGGTTCGTCTAAAATATATAATAAAATATAATAATTAAACAGATCAATAAATCAAAATTGACGATTTTTTCGTGATTTTCCTATCAGCGACTGAAATTTACAAGGTTTTAAATAACAACATTTGTAAATTAGATTAAAGTTTGTTTAATGTTTAATTCAACCCGTCACAAGGAGAATATATCTGGTCCAAAGGCACTACCATGTTAGTGTAACCCTGGTAAATACTAGCCGCAATACACCATTCGGCTAGAGAAAACTCTAGCTCGGTCTGGTGAGCGTCAGGCTAGTAAGCTAGAGGTCCCGGGTTTGAATCCTAGCGAAGACATTGAATTAAAAGACCTGTGTTACATTTACACTATTCGATCCGTTGTTCATGTTCATTAGAAACAAAAACCACCACAAGTCGGTCTACACACCTGAAATAAGGTAAGCCAAAGCTTAACATTCTGACTGAGTCGTCGCAACCTTTTTTTTTTTTAAAAAAAGTACGGTAAATAAATCTGAATAATTGATCCGAGAATAAAATTCTCTCTTAATATGGGTTAATTGTAGTATCCAAATCCATATGTCTTGTAGTTGAAATATTACCACGGAAAGAGTCGTGTTCATACAGTAAACGAAACCATTTCCTCTGATTTGTGTTTTAGTTAACAGCGATTTTTGTTCATACATGTATTTCAAAATGAAATGTATGATTCATTAGGGCTAGCACTTTGTAATGGTGTGTATGTGTGTGTGCGTGTGTGTATGTGTGTGTGTGTGTGTGTGTGTATGTACGTGTGTGTGTGTGTGTGTACGTGTGTATATATATATATATGTGTGTGTGTGTGTGTGTGTGTGTGTGTGTGTGTGTGTGTGTGTGTGTGTGTGTGTGTGTGTATGTACGTGTGTGTGTGTGTGTGTACGTGTATATATATATATATATATATGTGTGTGTGTGTGTGTGTGTGTGTGTGTGTGTGTGTGTGTGTGTGTGTGTGTGTGTGTGTGTGTGTGTGTGTGTGTGTGTGTGTGTATGTGTGTATATGTGTGTGTGAGGAATTACAATTCTGACCTTTGACGTTTTGGTTGGGCCGGTAAACATAGTTCCGGGAAGATGATATCTGGTCCACTATCTCGGTCTTCCTGAAATATAAAATAAATGGAGGTCAACATGAGGGTTACATCTATCTCTGATACCGAACATCCTGGTATCTACTCCTTTGTAGCTGCTGTTTTATCTGAGGGATTAGAATTACTGACGCTTTACTTTTTTTCTTAAAGTATAAGAAGATAATATGATACGATAATAATACTGTAAGTATACTACTTCAAAATCAACTAGATAATAACCAACAAAATAAAACAAAAACAAAACCAGGCACACACTCAAAAAAAAACATGTAAGATTTATTTGTGAAGGCGATTGCGATGACAATATATTCAGTTTCAATACAATACAACTATGATAGTGTACAATGTGACCTTTAAACATAGTCTGTACTTTTAACACACAAGTAACTTGTACCTATTCCTACGCATTTTCACTTATATATCTCTTTCATTCGGCTTACCTATTTTCAAAAGCTTTAAAACTCATGTTGTTTGGCGTTTTAAAAAATACAAGCAAAATGAAAGAAATACCATTAAAATACTACCACAAGTTTGTGCGACCTGTTTCTACCACAATAAAAACTCCGACGATGAATTGATATGTTCTGAATCCACGTGCGTTTTGTTTACAATATCAATTTAGGCATAGTGATAGGACCTGTAGCGAAATGCCACAAATCAAGGCATCTGCATGTAAAATCGACTACTTTAGAAACATGTGGAAATATTCTAATTAATTAAAAATCATATCTTATTATTAATGGGTTTATTTTCTTCTGAGAAATGAATTTATAGAAATCCATATCAAAATCAAATTATTACAAAAACAATCACAGGAGCTACTTATTGCGCGTTTTAATTTCCACGAGTACGTGAAGCGCTCTTCCGGTCAAAATCAAAGCATGTTTATACAAAATTTGAAATGATTAAATTATACCTAAGGAGTTGAATAACACCCACATATTGTGACAGAATATCATTAACATCAACATTTGTGTGTTTCTGTATCGATAACATTTATTTATGATTTTATCGCTCGTGTTTTTAGCCACACAACAGATTTCAGCTATGCTTGTGTATTCTCTAATAAACATGTATCCTATCGCGTCTATATTACTTTTACTGGTTGTTTAGATGATTACAAGTTAAAAGCGACAGCGTGGTGATTTCATCTTTGATATAATAAATGTGATATTTCAGGAAGTCTGTCGAATAAGTCTTATCATTTTTGGCCATTTATCAAATGGGAAACACAAGCTATCATTTCTTTCAAAAGAGTTTTAATATTGAAAACAAGTTCCTTCATGTTTAGAAAATAATTTAGCATAACATTTTACTTTGTATAATTTTAAGCTTGATAAGACCAAACGTCACGAAAGGTTTTGAAACACGCACAGAACTTAGGTAATTCAAAGTCTCCGACCTTGATCTCTTTTATCCTAGGAGGCACTGTATCAGCTTTGTTGTGTTGTTTTGTAACAAATATTACAACTGTTGTATTCACTTAGCGTAACACAAGGAAGAAGTTCGATGCTGAAGGTTTATCAAATAATTGAATTTATTATCATCTTTTTCAGACGTGCCTCCTTATATTGTTTCTATAGATCTTCACAAAACGAGAGGCCTACAGGTACGTGTATGTTTACAGTCAAGTTCAATGACTCAAAAATCATATCTGGCTCTTTAGCATGGCATGATTTTGCAGTTAAATAATATAAGAAGGGTTAAGAGAAAGATAATAGAATTGTGAACTCTTGCTCAGGAAACAACGTCAATAAAAACAAAGACGACAGACTAAAATAGAATATGGTAATATTTGGTCAGGTTGAAACAATAAACCAAACATGACTAAGGAAATAAATTATATTTCTCCAAAAATATCTTACTTACGCCCAACATTAAAGTCAGTTACCTAATACTTCAAACATCAAAATTACATCACACTGAGCTAAGCTCGCCAACATCAGTACCGGGTAGGTACAAGACAGCATCACACTGAGCTAAGCTCACCAACATCAGTACCTGGTAGGTACAAGACAGCATCACACTGATCTAAGCTCACCAACATCAGAACCTGGTACAAGACAGCATCACACTGAGCTAAGCTCACCAACATCAGTACCTGATACAAGACAGCATCACAATGAGCTAAGCTCACCAACATCAGTACCCGGTACAAGACAGCATCACACTGAGCTAAGTTCACCAACATCAGTACCTAATACAAGACTACAACCTTCTGAGCTAAGCTCACCAACATCAGTACCTAATACAAGACTACAACACACTGAGCTAAACTCACCAACATCAGTTCTTAATACAAGACAACATCACACTGATCTAAGCTCACCAACATCAGTACCTGGTACAAGACAGCATCACAGTGAGCTAAGCTCACCAACATCAGTACCTAATACAAGACTACAACACACTGAGCTAAATTCACCAACATCAGTTTTTATACAAGACAACAACACACTGAGTTAAACTCACCAACATCAGTACCTGATACAAGACAACATCACACTGAGCTAAGCTCACCAACATCAGTACCTAATACAAGACTACAACACCCTGAGCTAAATTCACCAACATCAGTTTTTATACAAGACAACGTCACACTGAGCTAAACTCACCAACATCAGTACTTAATACAAGACAGCATCACACTAAGCTAAGCTCACCAACATCAGTACCTGGTACAAGACAGCATCACACTGAGCTAAACTCACCAACATCAGTACCTGATACCAGACAACATCACACTGAGCTAAGCTCACCAACATCAGTACCTAATACAAGACAACATCACATTGAGCTAAACTCACCAACATCAGTACCTAATACAAGACTACAACACACTGAGCTAAGCTCACCAACATCAGTACCTGATACAAGACAACATCACACTGAGCTAAGCTCACCAACATCAGTACCTGATACAAGACAACATCACACGGAGCTAAACTCAACAACATCAGTACCTAATATAAGACAACATCACACTGAGCTAAGCTCACCAACATCAGTACCTGATACAAGACATCATCAAACTGAGCTAAGCTCACCAACATCAGTACCTGATACAAGACAACATCACAGTGAGCTAAACTCACCAACATCAGTACCTGATACAAGATTACATCACACTGAGCTAAATTCATAATAATTAGTACCTGATACAAGACTACAACACACTGAGCTAAGCTCACCAACATCAGTACCTGGTACAAGACAGCATCACACTTAGCTAAGCTCACCAACATCAGTACCTGATACTAGACAGCATCACAGTGAGCTAAACTCACCAACATCAGTACCTGATACAAGATTACATCACACTGAGCTAAATTCATAATAATTAGTACCTGATACAAGACTACAACACACTGAGCTAAGCTCACCAACATCAGTACCTGGTACAAGACAGCATCACACTTAGCTAAGCTCACCAACATCAGTACCTGATTCAAGACAGCATCACATTGAGCTAAACTCACCAACATCAGTACCTAATACAAGACAACATCACACTGAGCTAAGCTCACCAACATCAGTACCTAATACAAGACTACAACACACTGAGCTAAGCTCACTTACATCAGTACCTGGTACAAGACAGCATCACACGGAGCTAAGCTCACCAACATCAGTACCTGATACAAGACAACATCACACCTAGCTAAGCTCACCAACATCAGTACCTGATACAAGACAGCATCACACGGAGCTAAGCTCACCAACATCAGTACCTGATACAAGACAACATCACACTGAGCTAAGCTCACTTACATCAGTACCTGGTACAAGACAGCATCACACTGAGCTAAGCTCACCAACATCAGAACCTGGTACAAGACAGCATCACAGTGAGCTAAGCACACCAACATCAGTACCTGATACAAGACAACATCACACTGAGCTAAGCTCACCAACATCAGTACCTGATACAAGACAACATCACACCTAGCTAAGCTCACCAACATCAGTACCTGATACAAGACAGCATCACATGGAGCTAAGCTCACCAACATCAGTACCTGATACAAGACAGCATCACATTGAGCTAAGCTCACCAACATCAGTACCTGATACAAGACATCACACTGAGCTAAATCACAGTACCTGATACAAGACTACAACACACTGAGCTAAGCTCACCAACATCAGTACCTGATACAAGACAGCATCACACTGAGCTAAGCTCACCAACATCAGTACCTGATACAAGACAACATCACACTGAGCTAAGCTCACTTACATCAGTACCTGGTACAAGACAGCATCATACTGAGCTAAGCTCACCATTATCAGTACCTGATACAAGACAACATCACACCTAGCTAAGCTCACCAACATCAGTACCTGATACAAGACAACATCACACTGAGCTAAACTCAACAACATCAGTACCTAATATAAGACAACATCACACTGAGCTAAACTCAACAACATCAGTACCTAATATAAGACAACATCACACTGAGCTAAGCTCACCAACATCAGTACCTGATACAAGACATCATCAAACTGAGCTAAGCTCACCAACATCAGTACCTGATACAAGACAGCATCATACTGAGCTAAGCTCACCAACATCAGTACCTGATACAAGACAGCATCACACTGAGCTAAGCTCACCAACATCAGTACCTGATACAAGACAACATCACACTGAGCTAAGCTCACCAACATCAGTACCTGATACAAGACAGCATCACACGGAGCTAAGCTCACCAACATCAGTACCTGATACTAGACAGCATCACACTGAGCTAAGCTCACCAACATCAGTACCTGGTACAAGACAGCATCACACTGCTAACCAACATCAGTACCTGATACAAGACAACATCACACTGAGCTAAGCTCACCAACATCAGAACCTGATACAAGATTACATCACACTGAGCTAAATTCATAATCATTAGTACCTGATACAAGACAACATCACACCTAGCTAAGCTCACCAACATCAGTACCTGATACAAGACAGCATTACACGGAGCTAAGCTCACCAACATCAGTACCTGATACAAGACAGCATCACATTGAGCTAAGCTCACCAACATCAGTACCTGATACAAGATTACATCACACTGAGCTAAATTCATAATCATTAGTACCTGATACAAGACTACAACACACTGAGCTAAGCTCACCAACATCAGTACCTGATACAAGACAGCATCACACTGAGCTAAGCTCACCAACATCAGTACCTGATACAAGACAACATCACACTGAGCTAAGCTCACCAACATCAGTACCTGATACAAGACAGCATCATACTGAGCTAAGCTCACCAACATCAGTACCTAATACAAGACTACAACACACTGAGCTAAACTCACCAACATCAGTACCTAATACAAAACAACATCACACTGAGCTAAACTCACCAACATCAGTACCTGATACAAGACAGCATCACAGTGAGCTAAGCTCACCAACATCAGTACCTAATATAAGACAACATCACACTGAGCTAAGCTCACCAACATCAGTACCTGATACAAGACAACATCACACTGAGCTAAGCTCACCAACATCAGTACCTCAGTACCTGATACAAGACAGCATCACACGGAGCTAAGCTCACCAACATCAGTACCTGATACTAGACAGCATCACACTGAGCTAAGCTCACCAACATCAGTACCTGGTACAAGACAGCATCACAGTGAGCTAAGCACACCAACATCAGTACCTGATACAAGACAACATCACACTGAGCTAAGCTCACCAACATCAGTACCTGATACAAGACAACATCACACCTAGCTAAGCTCACCAACATCAGTACCTGATACAAGACAGCATCACACGGAGCTAAGCTCACCAACATCAGTACCTGATACAAGACAGCATCACAGTGAGCTAAGCTCACCAACAACAGTACCTGATACAAGATTACATCACACTGAGCTAAATTCATAATCATTAGTACCTGATACAAGACTACAACACACTGAGCTAAGCTCACCAACATCAGTACCTGATACAAGACAGCATCACACTGAGCTAAGCTCACCAACATCAGTACCTAATACAAGACTACAACACACTGAGCTAAGCTCACCAACATCAGTACCTAATATAAGACAACAACACACTGAGCTAAGCTCACCAACATCAGTACCTGATACAAGACAGCATCACACTGAGCTAAGCTCACCAACATCAGTACCTGATACAAGACAACATCACACTGAGCTAAGCTCACCAACATCAGTACCTGATACAAGACAACATCACACTGAACTAAACTCAACAACATCCAGTACCTAATATAAGACAACATCACACTGAGCTAAACTCAACAACATCAGTACCTAATATAAGACAACATCACACTGAGCTAAACTCAACAACATCCAGTACCTAATATAAGACAACATCACACTGAGCTAAGCTCACCAACATCAGTACCTGATACAAGACTCATCAAACTGAGCTAAACTCACCAACATCGCTACCTAACTCAAGACAACATCACACTGAGCTAAGCTCACCAACATCAGTACCTGATACAAGACAACATCACACTGAGCTAAGCTCACTTACATCAGTACCTGGTACAAGACAGCATCACAGTGAGCTAAGCACACCAACATCAGTACCTGATACAAGACAACATCACACTGAGCTAAGCTCACCAACATCAGTACCTGATACAAGACAACATCACACCTAGCTAAGCTCACCAACATCAGTACCTGATACAAGTCAACATCACAGTGAGCTAAGCTCACCAACATCAGTACCTGATACAAGATTACATCACACTGAGCTAAATTCATAATCATTAGTACCTGATACAAGACTACAACACACTGAGCTAAGCTCACCAACATCAGTACCTGATACAAGACAGCATCACACTGAGCTAAGCTCACCAACATCAGTACCTGGTACAAGACAGCATCACACTGAGCTAAGCTCACCAACATCAGTACCTGATAGAAGACAACATCACACTGAGCTAAGCTCACTTACATCAGTACCTGGTACAAGACAGCATCATACTGAGCTAAGCTCACCAACATCAGTACCTGATACAAGACAGCATCACAGTGAGCTAAGCTCACCAACATCAGTACCTGATACAAGACAACATCACACTGAGCTAAGCTCACTTACATCAGTACCTGGTACAAGACAGCATCATACTGAGCTAAGCTCACCAACATCAGTACCTGATACAAGACAGCATCACACTGAGCTAAGCTCACCAACATCAGTACCTGATAGAAGACAACATCACACTGAGCTAAGCTCACTTACATCAGTACCTGGTACAAGACAGCATCATACTGAGCTAAGCTCACCAACATCAGTACCTGATACAAGACAGCATCTCGGTGAGCTAAGCTCACCAACATCAGTACCTGATACAAGACAACATCACACGGAGCTAAATTCATAATCATCAGTACCTGATACAAGACTGCATAACACTGACCTAAACTCATACACATCATTACCTGATACAAACGGTACTGAACTCCCTTATATCAGAAGTCACCTAATACAGACTATGCAAAATCGAGCTTAGCTCACCAACATCAGTATCAGTTATCAAACGGAGCTATGCTTTATAAACATCAGTACCTTAAGAGACATATCTCTGGTACCTTACACTTGACTACACCACGTGGAGCTAAGCTTACAAAAATACAACAGCTTCAAACAAAAGTAAACTAAGAAATGTATTTATTTATAGTGGGCGTAGGTATGGTAACAAGCCCGTGACCGCAAACACAAAAGCGATATCAAGGCCAAATATCGGTGACATGAAGAAAAAATCTGATACAATTTAAACTGAAACGTTGGTTAATGAGTTAATATAAACAAAAGTTATTTTGTTTTTAAAGACAAATGAACTGTACTCTTGGGTATCAATGCTACTCGGAACCCTTTAAGTACTGGCAGGTGTCCAGGTAAATTTGCATATTCTTATGCCTAATTTGAAGGCGTCTGAGCGTGCACTGTTACCAACAAACGGTACAAAGGCATTTTTATTGTATGGTGACTTTTTGCTTTTAATGTTGATCAAACAAATAACTTTGTTGAAAATGTCAACTGGACCGGAAGTGACGTGTGTTGACGAAAATGACATATTTAACTTATCTTAGAACATGGAGTTCCGTACTTAAACATAAGACAGGTGTAAAGACGATATGTATGTAGGCGTGCATAGCGGGAGCCTATCCATCAGGTAGCCCCAGCGTAATACCACTGAAGTTCAACTTTTCATAGATCTCACTCAGCTGTCGAGAAATTTGACAAATGTTTCTCCACACAAGCACTCACATCGTTACTGTACCTCCTCTATTGATAACATATGAAGAGATTTCAATCCACTGCTACACATTTTAAACCCACTATATTATATATCACACACTTAATGAACAAACTGTGACTGACCAGTTATATACATTTATATAAACGTTTCATTTAAGATATTAATACTCACATGCTGTTTGATCGTTTGGTGCGTCCTTCCGTCGCTAACACTTCAGTGGTCAAAAACAGTTGAGTCAAGACCCACAACCAACGTATAGTGGTCAACACCTCCATTTTCTTGCAAGAAAACCAAATAGTCACATTCTTCAAAATATACTGTCAAGAATTTTAAAAGAAGCTACAGTCACTTGTGGAAGGCGCCGGCACTATACCCTACTAATAGTCATGCTCCTTAAAATAGAACCACTGTTCGTAAACTTGTACCGTGTTTTAGGCTTTCTGTAGCCGGGATGTTGAAACAAGGGAGAGAACTGCAAACGTTTGATCGGTTTTCCATAGCACGTCATCACCGAGGCTCCAGATGGATCGATTTCGGCCGTTTATATATACAATAGTTTGCAGTAAATACACTTGCCAGCGGGTTTGGAGAGGCAAGCATGGAAAATATCATATACCATTTTATTCAATTCGTGATAGAGCTACTGTTTGCTAGTGTCAAATCTTGTTAATGCATCGGTATGTTAACATAGGATTCCGGTCGACTTCCCATAGGCAGCACTGTAATAAATTTACATCCAAGTTATTTCACAAACATGTACATGTTTGTAGTATTGATAAAACCAAATTTCTGAAAGCACTTTTTTAATATATATATTTTCTTAAACTTATTTTCTCATAATGCAAATTGAATTTATGTATTCAATAAACGATAAACCTTTCTGTATGGACATGTCTAGTAATAATTGTATACACAGAGTTTACTGTTCTATCTATAGTAATAATAATTACAGGGAAAATTTAATTTAGACCAAAATCTAACAAAATTGACAATTCATCTCATTTTCAATGAATCTCTGATTCACGGGGACTGTTACGCTTGTACATCTACTCCACATTTTGTTAAACGTGATCGATATTGGCTGTTTAAAATATTGTACTTAGTTAATGAAAGTATGGACCAGTGTTCATTTAAAATAAAATTATAAACACTTAAAGAACATATACTTTGAAATTAAAACACAAAATTGCGTCGAAAACAAGCTTCATCGATCATTTTGTTATATATTTGTCATAAATTCGAAACTGACTGTCTATCAGAAAAGCAGGTAGAATTTTTATTGGAATCCGTAAAACCCAAAGGTCGTTTTCTTATGTTAATATGACTTTGTTGCTTTCGGATATAGCGCAATGACTTATTATCGACAGCAAGCTTAGCCCTTACGACCTATTAGGTAGCATACTGGTCAGAACGCCGTCCAGCAAATCAAACCGATCACGGTGACCCGTCCGCACACAAAGGCGGGTTCGATAATGTCGGCGATGATGGATGTTGTGCACAGTTTACTCTAGAAATAAAGAAGACACCGTCTGAAGATGTAGCCTGTAGTCCGGGTGTTTTGTTGCTCATAGCTTTAGACATTTACCACCTAATCATTGCTCTTGCCGAGTTTAATTTGTTTTTTTCCTGGCGGGCAATCCGTCAAAGGAAAAAGGATATTATTCATACTGTTCGATCGGATCCGAGACGGCCATATTGATATCTATCCATCATTAGCATAAGTAACGATACGTATTGTATATTATACCTAAACACCAGGAAGAATTCATAGACAAACGCTAAATATATGGATGAATGCTGGCAAAAACATGGACAAGAATTAAAACAAGTGTGAAAATATTGACGAATTTCGAGGTATTTGCGATCTCAAACATTAAAATTGTAAAATTTATATCTTTACTGCTGCAGTAATTTTGTTGATGATGTAATCACGATTGCAGCAGTTGTTGTTTTTTTAACTCTTAGCATTCGGAAGACTTTTTCGAGGTGTTGGAATTAATTTACTTGAGTATATTTTAAACTCAGTGTAGCTATTGGATGTATTTTTTTTAATATCAGAATGGTTATAAATTAAACAACACTGAAATTTATTAATACAAAACACCACTTTTATCTTGTTATCGCTTAAACATAGGAAAATAATTGTGAACAAATAAAAGCGAAAGATGTGATTGAAACACGCAATTTTTGGTGGTTATAATGTCGGACACTTTCCTTTGATCTCTACATACCACCCAAAAATAATGAAATTTCGATTAATCACGTGACTAGACATGAGTATAAAATACTAGCAATCAGAAAGGCATTTTGTCTGTTCAAAAAAAATTTTTTTTTCACTCCAGGCAAAATAAGAATTATTGCCAGGATCATTTCAAACAGAACGGAGTTATTTTGTTATATTGCACTCCTATCCAATTATAAAATGAGCACATGTCCAGGCCCTGTTTTACATGGATGTACATGTACATGCATATATATCTACAGTGAAGACACGCTTAATGTTTGGGCTGTTTCAGAGAGAGGCAGATTAATCACCAAAGAATCACACATGATAGATGCCAGAAAATTAAAAAGAAACAATTTAAAGTTGTAAAAAAAACCACTAAATTTTTATTTATCAACACACGACTGCGAAAATACTTTTTAATGTTTTAACAGGTGGTGTGGCTTACTCACAAAGCTCAATAAGAGACAAAAATAGATAAACATGTTTTTTAGAGAAAATATTTTGGAATCAAGACAATTTTGAAGTTAAATCTGGTTTACAGATTAACAGGCATTCGCATCCTAATTAACTTCCATTCATCCGGAATATGAGCTTATATAGTTTCAATATTGTGATAAAAAAATGAAATACAAAGACGGGACGCACGGTCAATTTCCAGATCTATTGATTTCAATATAGGATATATTTAGTTAAAAAAACCCAGAAAATGAAGGTTAGCCCCAGTTTCGTATTAAAAATGTACATCAAAAGACTCCAGGGTGTGTACTAAGGTAGTATATACATATACCAGCTATGTAATGACGTGACTCCCATATACATTTGGGCTGGGTAAGGTCTAACACGTATTAAATCCTACTCACATGTATATTTATGCTTTTCAAGAACGTTTGATAGGATAAAAAAAACATTTGTATAATGTGTATTTAGTTCACGCCGTTGCGGTTTTGCAGTTGCTTAGGGAGCACGCGTGCTGAAAGAAAGATATTTCAGTGATTTCAAATGATAAAAAGATTGAAGTGTTTGGCTTAGATTACGTCACCAGAAACATTAATCGCTGGATTTATTTGTTCTTTGTCATCTTTATCGGAGATTCACGCCGAAAGAAAAACACAGCTGATATTCTGCCTGGGAAATATCTGTATTGTTTCTATGACGTTTAGAATAAACAGCATAGTCTGTTATCTCATACCGATAGCAAAACATTTTGTATTATATAAATAAAACAACGCTTTATATCACATCAATAACAACACATCGTCTCACATCATAGACAACACATCGTCTCACATCATAGACAACACATCGTTTCACATCAATAACAACACATCGTCTCAAACCAATACAGCACATCGTCTTACATCATTGCCAACACATCGTCTCACATCAATAACAACACATCGTCTCAAACCAATACAGCACATCGTCTTACATCATTGCCAACACATCGTCTCACATCAATAACAACACATCGTCTCAAACCAATATAGCACATCGTCTTACATCATTGCCAACACATCGTCTCACATCAATAACAACACATCGTCTCAAACCAATATAGCACATCGTCTTACATCATTGCCAACACATCGTCTCACATTAATAGCAACACATAGTATCACATCGATAACTGCACATAGTTTCAAATCAATAACAACACGCCTTCTCATATTAATAACAACACATCGTCTCACATCAATAACAACACATCGTCTCACATCAATAACAACACATCGTCTCACATCAATAACAACACATCGTCTCACATCAACAACAACACATCATCAAACACCAATAACACATCGTCTCACATAAATAACACATCGTCTCACATCAATAACAACACATCGTCTCACATCAATAACAACACATCGTCTCACATCAACAACAACACATCATCAAACACCAATAACACATCGTCTCACATAAATATCAAAACATCATCTCACATCAATAACAACACATCATCAAACATCAATACCACATCGTCTCACACCAATAACACATCGTCTCACATAAATAACACATCGTCTCACATCAATAACAACACATCGTCTCACATCAATAACAACACATCGTCTAACACCAATAACAACACATAGTCTCACATCAATGACAACACAGTCTCACACCAATAACAACACATCGTCTCATATCAATAACAGCACAGTGCCTCACATCAATAACAACACATAGTCCCACCTCAATAACAACACATCGTCTCACACCAATAACAACACATAGTCTCACATCAATGACAACACAGTCTCACACCAATAACAACACATAGTCTCACCTCAATAACAACACATCGTCTCACATCAATAACAACACACAGTCTCACACCAATAACAACACATAATCTCACCTCAATAACAACACATCGTCTCACATCAATAACAACCAACCGTCTCACGCCAATAACAACACTTAGTCTCACATCAATAACAACAAAGTGTGTCACATCATAGACAACACGTCGTTTCACATCAATAACAACACATCATCTCACATCAATAACAACACATCGTCTCACATTATAGACAACACATCGTCTCACATCAATAACAACACATCGTCTCACATGATAGACAACATATAGTCTCACATCAATAACAACACATCGTCTAACACCAATAACAACACATAGTCTCACATCAATGACAACACTGTCTCACACCAATAACAACACATAGTCTCACCTCAATAACAACACATCGTCTCATATCAATAACAGCACAGTGCCTCACATCAATAACAACACATAGTCCCACCTCAATAACAACACATCGTCTCACACCAATAACAACACATAGTCTCACATCAATGACAACACAGTCTCACACCAATAACAACACATCGTCTCACATCAATAACAACACACAGTCTCACACCAATAACAACACATAATCTCACCTCAATAACAACACATCGTCTCACATCAATAACAACCAACCGTCTCACGCCAATAGCAACACTTAGTCTCACATCAATAACAACAAAGTGTTTCACATCATAGACAACACGTCGTTTCACATCAATAACAACACA